AAATATATCAGGTGACCGTTAAGGCCCATGGGCCTCTTGTTTAAGTCACTCTGGCCACGTAAATGCTAAATCAGGGTATAGAAAATACAATGGATAAGAAACACTTCCTTGGAAATCACACTTTGATCTAAAGCTATTTATTGGCTTTAATCGTTTGGATGAATTGATTTTGATTTTAGGCAAAGGAAAGCCAATCTTCTTTATTTTTAGAGTTTGAAATATATCAGGTGACCGTTAAGGCCCATGGGCCTCTTGTTTAAGTCACTCTGGCCACGTAAATGCTAAATCAGGGTATAGAAAATACAATGGATAAGAAACACTTCCTTGGAAATCACACTTTGATCTAAAGCTATTTATTGGCTTTAATCGTTTGGATGAATTGATTTTGATTTTAGGCAAAGGAAAGCCAATCTTCTTTATTTTTAGAGTTTGAAATATTGACAATGAGAAACATAATTCGTACACATTTGGAAATATTTAAGGATGTATGACCTGTTATCATTCTTTATTATAAATATGTCATGTTATCTCTCTCCACCAAATCCCAGAAATAATTCAAGTTTACTGAGTAATATAGTACAAATAAAGTTTCTTGTTGCATTATCATGCATTCTAATACAAGAATGCATCAAAAGATATTTTTAGGTATGTCAGTTTGGCATGGGATATAGGCTTATACCATCACTGTACCCAAAACAGGACACTTGCGGCAAAACAGCCAAAGAAACTGTCATGCAATGCAAAGAAGTACTTGTATGTAATTTTTATTTTTTTTATTTTGGTGATACTTTTATGACAATTTAACTGTAAATAAGCTTTTTTGACTGATGATTATCGTGACATGGACATTTAAAGGAAAGACTAATTACCAAAACAATATTTACATGCCGTGCGACGCTATTTATTTGGATATTAATATTGATCGTGAATTCCCAATACAATATTAGCTGAAATTCCAAAGTGTCCTTTCAGGGTACAGTAACACCTGTTCAAGGGCCTGCATGACCCTGCTAGTATTTTGCATTCTTTTTATAGAACCACGTGCCAGAAATACCAACTACCAACTTGTAGTAGATATGAAAAGTGGATGGTATCTATTTATGAAAAATTAACAAACATTTTAGGAGTTGATAGTATGTTATAAAGTGCATTGATATATCTCTAAAAAGTGTCCCGTTTTGGGTACAGTGACGTTAAAGTTGTATCCTATGCAGTATGTAGAGGATATTTAATGGTGTCTTCTGTAATAACAAATATATTTCTCGAATGCTGATATTTTATTGATATTTTTTCACGAGTAAGCAGCACGAAATATCAAAATATTAGTAACACTCGTGAAATATATTTGTTATTACTAAAGACACCATTAAATTTTCTATTTATTACATTTTTAAAGCATAAAACATGAAAAAATTTGTCACAGTGTGAAAAATATCAGTTTTATCAAGTTGATAGAATCCGATATTTCACGGACAAAAATGTGTATTTTTTTCTTGTTGAGCTAAATTTCTGGTGTATTTTGACAGGTGTATGCAGCTCAGTTTTCGGAAGACAACATGTGGTACAGATGTGGAGTCAAGCAGTTTGTAGGAACAGATAAGGTAGAAATGTTTTTGAAATATTGGAAGCTTGAAAATGTCCATAAAGGACACATTTTGCATGTGGAAATTATTTACATAGTTAATTGTGTTTCTAAAGCAAACAAAGTGTCTGCTTAAAGCTTAAAAAAATAAATACAGGAGGTTGGTAGGAGGGAAGAAAGAGATTAAAATTAGTTGGAAAAGATTGGTTATGATTATGGCATTAACATTTAAGGTAGGTAGGGAAAGAAGAAATACCAAATTTTGCCTAAGACGAACATTAGACAGTGGATCCCACTTATTGAATTATCAGGTACTTTTTCCTTATACTGTATTTTCTCTAAATAAACTAATAAAACAAAATCATTATGTGGTCAAACATGAAAGGGCACTTATATTTATTGTCGTGAAAGGACTTTTTAAAAGCTAGAATAGTGACTGTATTTCGCTGTTTTCAGGTAAGTGTTACTTACTCTGTGTATTGTTATTTACAGGTTAAAGTTCAGTATATAGATTATGGTAACAGTGAAGAAATCTCTGTCAACAGCCTTGTTGATATTCCGCAAACTCTAGCTTCCAATAAACCTTTGGCTACAAAGTTTATTCTGCACAATACCAAAGCCAACAAGTTCAATGATGTAAATGTAAGTATGGATTATATTCTCACCAATCTGCAAATTACATTCAGAAATCTATCATAGACAATGTTTCCGTAAACGGAGTTGCTGTCAGGCAAAAAAGGAATATTATTTGGTCTTGATAGCTGTGAGGTAATTTCAAAAATGTACTTTTCTTAAAATCATACAAAGTTAATAGAATTTCAGCAGAGATCTATTCTTTTCCTTTTATAAATCAATTTCAAACATTTTGAAACAATCCTATCATGTCAAGTGTCGAGGTTTATCTTCAAAAATAATTTTCTTCTATTTCTGAGGGGTTTAATAACAGAAAAAACATTATAGCAATACAATCAAGGAAAGTAAAATACAAGCATTTGCAAAATGAAACCTGTATTTTACTTTTGAAAGTGTTGCATTCCTAAATGGTATGCAGTCAAAATTAAATATTAAAGTTAAACGGTTAGTTTTGAATTGTTTGGATGTAACCCGACCTAAAATAACTGCTTTTTCGTGAGCTCTTTTCTGATAACTTTACATGAACCCTTTACAAAAATACTTTTACCAACATGTATGTGAAATTTCTGATGTTATACAAGGACCACAATTGCTTTGCAGGGAATCTCACTGCTGAGAAAGTTGACAGAAGGAAAGGTGATAGAAGCTGTACGTACTAGGAAGCTTGGTGATGGAAATGGTTACTATGCTTTGATCTATCTGGACGGCCAGAGCATCAATGACATGATGATAGAAGAGGGGTATGCCACCAAACGACCCCCAGCCAATGCCCGGACTACGACGGAGTCTTCAGACCAATCAGGTACTGTTTTAAACATACATCTTTAAGTGGAAGGAAGTCTTATAATGGCGTTTTTCGTGGTTTAGCTATTGTGAAAGGGCCCCTTGAAGTTCTTGTATTTTGTTCTCTATTGCATATTTCCGGGATGCATCAATTCATTAATGTGTTAATCTACTAAAATGTGATAATGCACTAAAATTTAAGTTGTGTTTTAGAAGAATATTTACAGTATTTATCATCCATTCCTTAATTCTGTTATTACTTCCCGGCAAACAGTATTGACCTATTGAATATATGTTTATACTTCCAATTCCCAATAAGTTTAAATCGTTCATAATATAAAATAGTAATATATGTAAAACATGATTTTTTCTACTAAAGAAGATAGTTAACCTGTTAAATTGCTAGTGTCACATGGGTTTGAACATTGTGCCTCTTTATCTTTAGAAAGCTTTGTTAATGAATTGCAGGAGGTAACCAGCTGTTTGGAAGCGGAGACCCTCTGGCAGGTACGTCTTCTCTGAGGTACAATAGGTTTGGCAGTGGTGATGGTGGACCGTTTGCCTTGGGAGGTGGAGGCTATGCTGGAGATGCAGCAGTGAGTGGTGGCCCCTTCCCACAGGGTAGACACCTGGCTCAAAGGTATACTTTATGTTCTGTGTGGGTGTACAATCATCAGGGGAAAAACCCCAGATTTAATAGCCTAATAGGCCATAAGTTATTGTTTTTTGTCAGCCCACCTGCACATTGTCCATCTAGCAAATTAAGATGGTGGAACAGATAATGGGAAAATTTGGTATGATGCATCTTTGGTCCAAGTGAACTGGTGTTGGGATGATGATCAGTTATATTTGAAAATAATGATTATGCAACTGATCATCCAAGTGGCTTACTTAGTTATGACAGGATGTCAGAATACTCGGGGGTTATATTAGACAGGTTTCACTGTATTTATCATGAGATACTTGCATGGTTAAACATGTATATCATTATATATGTATATATTTACAGCAATATCGGAGGTGATGAGATGTTAAGGAACGACTTGAACAAGAAAAAACGAGAGGTTGATAGGTTACGTGGAGAGGTGGCAAAGCGAGATCTTCAGCTCCAGCAGTTGACCGCAAACAAAGTCCAGGTTAATGTTTTATTTTGTATGGATTTGTTTATTCTATGTTCAGGCTGTTTATTACACCATAGCGGCTTTGTTCAAGTTTTCCTGCAGGCTGTTGAGAATTTTGACGGTATATAAGTATTAAATTAACATATGTCATTAAGTTGAAAATTGAAGAATACTAGTACGTAGGAGGAAATAGTTTTTTTGTCCCTATACTGTAATTTTTTCCAGAAAAATAGAGTTTTAATGTATTTGGAGTATTTCAGAGTTGATCAAGTTCATTTATGATAAGTCATTTGTTACAAATCCAGCAGTATTTTAAACCTTAAATGGAGAAGGTATAGAAAACACTGAATCAATTCTGTAAAAATTAATGATAATTTTGTTATTGTAGCTTCAGAGTGTTGTTGATCTCGCTGATAAAGTGAAAAGACTCAGGTGAGTGAACTGTCTCTATCTTCCTAAATTGAAAGTCATAAATATAATTAAAGTGTGAATATATAAGTGTCAGATGATTTTCATAGTAAAATCAGGGTTGTTTTAGTTTTAAGAACAAAATAACTCATTGCTTTGTAGAATATAAATCATAAGGTCTTCTTACCAGACAAGAAATGCATCAGCACTTCAGTTACTATCAGTCTTTCTAGTGTAATCAATCAAAATATTTTATCTCCTACTTATTGCATGAACTCCTACTGGACAACAAATACACCAAGTTCTAGCCAGTTGTTCTAGGGTGACTTTTTGCTCCTCCAGCTTATTGTCCTCATTCCTATTGGACAACAAAAACACAATGTTTTCAATTGTAACTGGTTACAGTTCTTACGACTCCCCCAAGTTATTGCTTTGATTTCTACGGGACAGCAAATACACTGTACACCAAGTTACGTTATGTTTTACAACAATTATCAAAACATTATTTCTACTTAAATTAATAACTTTTGTCGGGCCTTTCTGTTTTAGTTATATTTAGGGCTACAGTTGTTATTTTGCTCCTGTTTTAATTCCTGCATTATTGTCTCCTAGGGTGCAGTTTCCAACAGGACGTTCCAGTGGCCTTGAGGAGGCCATGGCACTAGCACTGTCAAATGAGAAAGTTCAGAATTCATCAGTTCATTCCCTCCAGGCAGTGATGTCCACCATGTCAACCTACAAGGCTGCCCAGAAGGAAATCATCTGCTCCAGCAATCATGTTTGTACAATTGATTGTTTTGTTAAAAAGAAACACCATGAAAAATGTATATACTGATAATATATATAAATTGGTGGATTTCTTTTTCGTACCAGAAATGAAATACAGTCAATTTACACTGAGAATATGTTTCATTTCCCATGGAACTGATTTTCCAATTTGCAGTATCTTATTGTGGGCGTTATGTCTATTACTTATAAATACATTTCTGGCTGTGTGCTGCCGTGGTTATCTGACCCGTAGAAAAGCTATTGTATGCCAATTTTATATTTGTAAGTGGGTTACAGGCCTTAGTTTGTTACTTTTTAGTTAAAGTTATGTAATTTTCTCTGAATTCTCGCTAAGAAAATCAGTACAGAACATCAAAAGGACCCCCCCTTTTTCAATAATTGTCAGGTATCGGTGCACCAAAAGTAGAACTATATCCGAGGTAAGAAATTTGTGTACAATCGTAAGTGCAAAGCTAGAAAAGCATACTATTGAAAATTAGATTTGCTATACTGCTGGAGAACAGACCAAATTCTAGGATACTTAGTTCAAGACCCCTGTCAGACTAACAACAAACAGTTCAATCGAAAATAATCCTTGTCATTATCAAATGACCAATAAAATTTACACTAGCACTGAAGATTGTTCCGAATCATATAATGGTATCTTAGTCAGGAATTGTTTTAAAAATATTTGATCTAAACCATAATATACTGTATGGGAAGTGTCTGATATATACAACATACATTTTGGCGGTGTAGGAGGAGTTGGCCAACATGATCCTAGAAAGAGACAATGCACGGCGGGACTTACATGGCAAGTTACAAGAATGTATAGATGAGCTGACGGAGATGCCGCTGGATACCAGATACAAGGCTCTCAAGGTTGGACTGTTAGGAGATTTACAACACAAGCTGTGAACCATTGATATTTAGCATATTTTAAATAAACTTGTGTTGACATTTTTTTAAAGGTCGAAGATTTGTAAAAAAAATAACAGGTGAGCGATACAGCCCATTGGACCTTTGGTGTCACACTTGTCCTACAAAAAGGACCACGTGCAATATCAAACATGTGAAGCACCTGTAACTGGTGAAATAACTCGGTACAAGAAGGACTAGAATTTTATTGTTGGTTGCTGATGTTGTAGGGGGTGGTCAAACATTGAGTGGTTGGTAGGATTTGACATTGAAGCGGTTGTATTGTGTGGATGGTAGGGTATGCTTTCAGTGTGGTAGAAAATGCATGTATTTTCATGAAATATGACTTTTTTTCAAGCTAATAATAAAGTGTTCTATGACAATGTAATGATTTGTACTTTTTACACAGGATAAGGAAGATAAAGTGATGAAGGACTACAAAATGTTCATAGGCTTCAATGTGCATGGATGTCCACTCCTGGAAGATCTTGCCTTTGGTTTCAAGGATTGGAAGGTGTGTGTTATGGATAGCATGCAACAGCTGCTTGTTTGTGCTTGGTCCAAAGTACCAAGGTAACATGCCTACCATGGCATGGCATCTGAACCACTTAAAATATTTTTCAACAGAGGAACTGAAGGGCTATGCCAAAAAGGATAACTTGGCGGTTTTGCTTTTCCATCATTTTTGCACAAGATTTACTAGATATGATCACCATACTGTGTACGATTTACAGTACTCTTCTATAAAGCATATTTTCACCTTGTGCACTTAATTTATTTTCATGAAATAGATGTGAGATTTTAGTAAAAAGTAACAGGTTAGCTATTCAGGAATTTTGATCTCTTTTCACACTAAAGGTGTGTGATTTAAACATATTTTCCATTCAATAAGCTATAAACTTAATATTTAGGAACATTCAAACATTTTTTTAAATGCAATTGTAATGAGTTTTCTTAACAGTTACTGTTTATTTAGTAAAGAAACATAAAAATTACATACTGTTCTAAAGGTTTGTTTTTTGTTATACTTTAATAGAGTCGGAAAGAAGAAGAGTTCTGCTTAGTACGGGAGAATTGTGACACCTGTCAAAATAACATGACGGCATTCTTACAGCGGCTGTTAGGAGTAAGTTCCCTGGTTCAACCCCATATGAAGTCTCGGGATGTTTATAAACAGTCCTTTTGTCTGTTTGGATCTTGTTCGGGCTACAGGATTACTTAGACGTCAACTATTTTTCGTTCAGAACAGCCACGAGGACTAGTTGAATAATTTATTCCTGAAAACGTTTGCTCAGTCAAATTCTCTCCCTTTTCTGATAAAAGTTCACCAAGTGTTAATTTCACCCTTCACATGTAATTCCTATATATTTATGTTGTGTACTTAAATTTGCTAACATGATAAATGCGCCCTCATTGGGGTGGGCGGAAAAGACGAAAGTTAAAGTGCAATACAGTGGAACCCGCTTATTATGATATTCTATTTGCCAGGGAAATATCATAATAACCGATCAAACTATTTTCGATCGCTTTTTTTGTGTTGTCTGAACTGGAAGTGAGATGCCCTATATTAATCAGACATAGGTTGATGAGGAAACATGGAAAATATAAAAACAAACTGATCAAAGTGATAATTGAAATAATTTGTTCATTGTTATATTAAATTTTGCTGTAATAATGATCAGTATGTCAATTCTACTTTCACTTTCAAATAACTTTGAGCGTATTCCCAAGAACTTTCTTTATACTACATCCTAGCTAACAATATCGTAATGTTACAGTCAATAGAATGGAAGAAGTGATATAAACAGTCATGATATTTTGCAACGAGAAGTTGCGTTACATTTTGTCCCATAAGCGTTAAAATATTTTGCCGCACTATGTCAATTACGATCATGTGACAATCACATGCCTTGCAAGTCGTGCATGAAATCAACTTGCAAAGAATTAATAACAATTAAAAACACAAAATATTCCCTTTTTAACAAGAATCAAATATTGTTTTAAACGAAAATGGTGTAAATTGTAAATAAAGCAGCCATCGTCAGTTGTTTACGACACTAATGTTAACTTTGGATCGATTTCCGGCCCCATGTTGTTAGGGCGGTATGTCCAGATTTTGACACTTTATTTCAACAGAGACACTGGGAAATCAACTTCTAATGCAATAGAGAAACAATTGCTTAATTGATTAAAATCACGTCTTCCTCGCATGATTTTCTCACATGACGTGTCAGGGGTACCGTGAATATTTGTGAAAGGCATGCTCGTTTTTTTATCGGAATTTGTGTTAGAAAATGTCGGGAGGCCTGATCATTTCAATTTGATAAGACAATTCTACAGTGTATTTTAGATAGCAATTAACTGCACCACATGTTTTGTTAAGACTAAAATTTATGACCAGCAAGCCATGGTCGATCTATTGTTTTCTGCTGACTGGGGTGAAGAGAGGTGTGAAAAATGTACCTGAAGTGAACAGGTGATCACCTCGGGCGATGTACAGTAAGTCAGACCTATTGCTTAATTGTCCATGTGTTTCACATGCACAATATTTTGTTTTGCTTAGTTAAAGAAGGAAAAAATCGGTACATGGGGAAAATAACATAATAAGCGATATATCATAATAACTAATATCATAATATCATATCAAGTGGGTTCCATTGTATATAGTACATGTTTCAAGTCAGAGAGCTGGTTGTTGAAAGGGACATTTAACATGAAACTGAACAGATGCCTGTAAAGGACATTGAAACCTAATTAAAACCTATGACAATGGCACAGGGTGTGCTCAGGTTTTGAAACCCTTTAATTTGACGCTTGTCTTGAAAATAAATGAAGTCTTTGAAAAAAGAAACTGGTTTCATTGTTCATGGCTTGTTATCAGATTGTTTTGTCAATATAAAATTGCTTCTTGTTTAAAATATTCTTTCATGTTAAAAATTACATTTTGTCTGTTAACCACATTTTTTATAATTTCTGCATACAAGTGTCTATTGTGACATTAATATATGGTTATCCAAGGCAGTTTTCAGGAAAAAGGGATTTCAGCATTCCCTTGAAAGAATTAGTGACCCAAAATATTGAAATAGACATTCCTGAAAAAGTCTCCCTAGTTATAATTAAAAATCTCTCTACTTCTGAACACTAATTTCTCCCTACTTTGTGTTCTGAAGTCATCACAATCTTCAGACATTTTGGTACTCTGGTTTCAATAATCAAATCAAATGAAATTATGTAGTTCGTGTTGAAATAGAGATGTGTTGTTTTGTGTAGCTGATGTCACTGGAAGCACCCACAGAGGTTACCAACTCGGTGGTGGATATGGACAACCTTCTGAGGTCATACAGTCAGGCTCTACAACAGGAGCTTGTCATCACTGATCTGGTAAGTTCCTTCACAAGGTTAATAGATCTTTAAAACATTTAGAAAGGGAAGATTTTCTATGCAACTTTCAGACGTAGATTTAAGCGTAGTTAAGACTCTGACCAGGATGTGCTGAACATATTTATATGTAATTCTTAAATGATTTTGCCAAAGGTCCTTTTTCTTTTTGTAGAAATACCGTGGAAATGTTCAAGTGAATCTTCAAACTGATTGATATGTGGAAATGTTTTCAATGGTAGTGGTTCTGAAATCCATGTTTATATTTTTTGTGAATGTATATTTTTATGCTAATTTAATCAACACAGAAAATGCAGACATTTCCACACTGAAATAACTTTCAATTTTACAATAGGGATATATGTTACACTGTTCATCAAATACTGAAGTGAGTTTCAACAAGAAATCAGATATGTCTCGTTACCTGCTTCTTAATGGCAAGATTTTTTATGAGAATACCATGTAGTACTGTGAGGTCACCAGCCTATTTAAACAGTAGTGTTCAGGAGCTACACCTCACACATACTTAGTCTTTATATGCTGGGCCCCCCCCCCCCCTTTTCTTTCAGATTTTCATCAAACTTTATAAAAAGGACATGTATGCATATATCTCGGACATCGTTGTGTTTCGGGGGGGCGCATTCATGTCTTGCAGACATTTTCTAGTTAGTTTACCTGCCTGAAGCGTAATTGAGCTTTTGCCATGGTGCAGCGTTCATCTGTCATCATCTTTTTCTTAAATAACTTCTGAAGAACTTTAAAGGCCTAGAGTCTCAACATCTCACTGGTAGCTTACATGGACGAAGCCCAAGAAAATGTGTACAAAAAAATGACCTTGACCTACTTACTCAACATATTTTAGATTTGTTTTTCAATGTATATTTCACCATGCTTACTTTTCTCATTTAGGAACACAGTTCAGATGCCAACATGGTTGCCACTATATTAGCTGCTATATTGAAAGAGTTAAGAGGGGAAATGAAGACACTAGAAAATTTGAAAGGAGTTGCTTCTGACTTCACTAATTTGAAGTCTTCCATTGAACCATGGCTGGAGGCTAGGCCAAACCTGGAAAGCATTACTGACAGAAGGAAGGCAATCCGCAGCCTCAAGTCTAAACTCCGACATAAGGAAGCTGACAGACAGGACATAGAGGAGGTAAGATCATTGACTAACAGAGTACAAGTGTAGAAGTACTGTGCATGGGTAAACCTTCACTCACTCTTGATCTTCTCCTTTCATTGTGAAATTATGTACTCCCCCAGTGTTAATTTCGCCTTTCCAATATAATTATTATTATATATTGTACTAGGTATGCTGTGTAAGAATATTTGCTGACTTGGTAATTTGCATTAATTAGGAGGGTGAAAAATGGCAAAGATACACTTACTGTACTGAATTTACAGTATTATGAGTAAATGCTAATAACTGTTATAACCAAAATACAGTTCCGCATCAGTATGTCAACAGGGTATATAGTGAGACATCTGTTTTGGAAATAAACAAAGGTGGAATTTTAGTAGATTGGAATTTTGTGGGGAAATCAGATGAATGGAGGGTATCCAGACTCCAGAGGTTACAATCATGTATGTAGTTATGATTTCCAGGTTTGTTACTAGATGATTAACCAAAAGCCTGTAATTATAACCTGGTTTTACAGAGTGGAGATGGCACAAAAGAGGAGATGGCTGAGATACAACGAGAAGTGAACGAATTGAAATACAAGCTTCACAAGGAGCTGCTGGCTATGGATGACTTACTGGTTTGTAGCTCATCAAACTTATGCGTCAAGTTTTTATATATCTTATTTTCATTTCTCTTTTTCGTATTATTTTCTGCAAACAAGAACTCTTCTAATCCAACTATGGTAAGATTTTTCTACTATGAGGAATTTTCATGACATTGTTGTAGGTCCACCAGAGTCTTGAAATTTTTCTCGGAGTGCCATGTTGGGGCATTGGAGTTTTTACATTTCAGTTGACCAAAATAAAGATCATTGTAAAATCCTTGGAGTGAAAAGGCGGACAGCAAAACAAAAATAATATAAACATTTGAACTGCGTCTTATGAAATACATATCGTAACATCCATACCTCATACAAAAACCGGCAAAATAATAGTTTCAAAGGTTGATTAAATAAAGTAAGTTTGTCTCAAGTAATGTTTCATTATATTAGGGAAGGATGCCATTTCCCTTTGTGCTGATACACAGAGCCTAAATGGAGATTACTTAAATGTTCAAATGGGCGAAACTTGTCCTCTGGGCCACTTGTGGAGGACTATGGTTGGCTCCCAGAACTTTACTTTGTTATGCCATTGAATTGGATCTCGTAGCATATTTGTTCCGAACAAAATCTATTACGACCTTAGCCAAGCTGTAATTTTGTTCCTTTTCCTGGTATGATTAGTGTGATTTTTTGTGTTTCTTACATTGCCAGGCCAGCTTAGCTGTTAATGCAGATGAGCACTTCCCAGAGTTGAGCCTGCAACACCAAGACATTGGCATTGACATTCAACTGGTGTGTGTAGTTAATGATTGTTTATTTTTGTTATATTGACAGGATGCATGTCAAATGGTATGGGAAGTGTCCGTCTGTCTGTCCGTTCTCCCACTTTCATTTCCATAAGATAACTTGCTTGAAGTTTGAAGATGAGCAAAATTTGTGCATTATTTGAATATAAACAAGATCTGCATAATGAATTAGCGTACTGCTCTGATTAGTCAGCATTCACACTTCAGTTTCTGTAAGATAACTTGCTTACGTACTATCTGATTTTAATGAAACTTGGTAAGCATGTACAATATACAAGGACTGTTAAGGCAATGTTGAGCAAAACCATCTTTGCATAATTAATTTGCCTACTGTGCTCTGATTGGTTGGCAGTTTCTACACAATGGTTTAATTAAGTATGACTGGATTATAATGAAACTTTTTCAATATATTATGCATATACAAAGGCTAAGTTGGAAGTTAAAAAATAGGTTGCATAGTTAATTTGCTTCCTGCGCTTTGATTTGTTAGATTGATAACTTACAATCAAATTGATGGGATTGCAATGAAACCTGGTCGACATTCATATTATACCAAGACAAAGGCTAAGTTTGAAAGCGAACAACATCTGCCCATGGCATTGGACAGGCATAAATTGTTGTTATACTGCTGTGGTCCTAGTTGTTAGCTCACCTGCCCGAAGGGCAAGTGAGCTTATGTCATGGTGCGGCGTCCGTCGTCCGTCAACTTTTCCTTTAAACAATTTCTTCTGAAGAACGGACAGGCCTAGAGTCATGATATTTGGCTGAAAGCTTTGTTGGTAGGAGCCCAACAAAGTTTGAGAACTAAAATGACCTTGACCTACTTTCAAGGTCACAGGGGTCAAATATGTCAATAACTTCAAACAACTTCTTCTGAAGAATTAAAAGGTATAGAATCTTCATATTTGGCTGATGGCTTTCTGGGATGGACCAAACAAAGTTTGAGAATGAAAATGACCTTGATCTACTTTCAAGGTCACAGGAGTCAAATGTGTCAAACACTTCAAACGACTTCTTCTGAAGAACTGAAAGGTGTAGAATCTTTATATTTGGCTGGTGGCTTCCTGGGTTAAAGCCCAACAAAGTTTGAGAATGAAAATTAGTTTGACGTACTTTCAAGGTCACAGGGGTCTAATATGTCAAATGCTTCAAACGACTTCTTCTGAAGAACTGAACGGTATAGAATCTTTATATTTGATTGATGGCTTCCTGGGATAGAACCTGACAAAGTTTGAGGATGAAAATGACCTTGACCTTCTTTCAAGGTCACAGGGGTCAATGTATTAAACACTTTAAACGACTTCTTCTGAAGAACTGGAAGGTATAGAATCTTTATATTTGGCTGGTGGCTTCCTGGGATAGACCCCGACAAAGTTTGAAAACGAAAATGACCTTGATTTACTTTCAAGGTCACATGAGTCAGATATGTCTGATGCTTAAAACGACTTCTTATGAAGAACTGAAAGTTATAGAACCTTAATATTTGGCTGGGTATTTCCTGGAAAAGAGCCCAACAAGGTTTGTGAATGAAAATGACCTTGACCTACTTTCAAGGTCACATAAGTCAGATATGTCTAATGCTTAGAACAACTTCTTCTTAAGAACTGGAAGGTATAGAACCTTAATATTTGGCTGGTTATTTCCTGGGAAAGAGCCAAAAAAAATGACCTTTACTTATTTTCAAGGTCACAGCGTTCAAATATGTCAAACGGTTCAAACTACTTCTTCTGAAGAATTAAAAGGCATAAAATTATAATATTTGGCTGGTGACTTCCTGGGATAGAGCTCACCAAAGTTTGCGAATGAAAATGACCTCAACCTACTTTAGAGGTCACAGAGGTCAACAACATTTTAAAGGATTAGTTCTTAAGAACTAAAAGAAATGGATTCATAAGATTTGGCTGGTAGCTTTTTGGAATAGAGCTAACCAATTTGAGAAGGAAAATGACATTGACCTACTTAAAAGGTCACAGGAAAAAATATGTCAAGCAACTTCTGAAGAAGAATAAAAAAGCATAGAATCTTATAATAATATTTTGCTGATAGTTTCAACAGATGGAGCCAACAAAGTTTGCGAGGGAAATATTTTTAGTGCAATATGATATTTTAATGAGAATATTTTGCTATGACTGCTCAAATATTCAGGTGAGCGAATCAGGCCCTCTTGGGCCTCTTGTTTATTTTATATTCCATGACAGAACAAAAAGAATATGTTTTCAGATGATATATGTAATGTCTATATACCAACCATTTCCTATATTTCCATGTATCACTTCCCATTTGTCTTTGACATTTTTAACCCTTTTGCCTGCTGTGCAAAGTAATTCTCTGCCCATTCTGGACATGCTTTCTGCCATAGGTGGAGACAGAAAACACCTTGCTTAGAGATCAAAACCACATTTACATTACAGCCAACAATTCCTCTTGCTTGTTTCTGGTAGAATCCATGATGGAAGTAAAAAATAACAACACCCAGAGTTTTTTTTACTTTTTCACAACACATTGTTAGCTCACCTGTTCCGAAGGGCCATGTGAGCTTATGCCGTACTGCGGCGTCCGTCCGTCAACTTTTTCTTTTGAACGACTTCTGAGGAACTGGAGGGCCTAGGGTCATGATATTTGGCCAGTAGGTACCCGAGATAGTGTGCTAAGAAGTTTCCACATTAAAATGACCCCTGAGATAGTGTGCTATTAAGTTTCCTCATTAAAATGACCCTGACCTACTTTCAAGGTCACTGGGGTCAAATATGTTAAACATTTCAAACAAATATATTTTAAGAACCTTTTGGACTAGAGTCATGATACTTGAGTATGTTATGTAGACCAGCAGTGCGAATCTTTTTCTCAATAACAGTTATGAGGTCAAAAGTCAACTTTAAGTGCAAGTCGGGAGTCAAAGGTCATTGTGGGTTAAAAGCTTCAAAATTAAAATTTGAAATTTCAAACAACAATATCTTAAGAACCGTTCATGTAACAAAAGAAACAGGTGAGCGATACAGGCCCCTTGGGCCTCTTGTTAGGCGATTTTATGCAGCACATCAATGTATGTATTCATTTATATCATTGTAAATGTATTCAGTAAGGGATCAAGGATAGAAACAATTGCAGCTATTTTGCCTACTTAGTGATGAACAACTTGTTAGAAATACATTAACAAAATATTTCAATGCATTTTTTACATGGAAGGTTAACATAAAAAATAATATCTCAATTTTCAAAGATAAAAATATTGCAGAAGTTAAAAAACAAAAGTTCAGCATGTATAATTATGGGTCAGGTTTGGAAGCAAGTCAAAGGGTTATTTATATGTATAGAAATTCTTTAAGCGTATATACAAATCCTAATGATTTGGTCAATTGAAGTTCACAAACAAAACACCTGGGCAGTTGCATGCATATTGGTGAAGTTGTGAAGGTCAGGTGTGAAAAGTTCATGTCAGGTATACTTAGGATAGTTTGATGTTCCCTTTTGCATCATAAGAAAACAGATACATATTTTGGTGTGTCAAATTTTAGCATTTAACTGTTCTGATGAGTCATGTTTTGTGTACATTAATATTTTATAGGTTATCAAACAGATATACTCCATGTTTGTACTTTATAATTTTTGTAGGGATATGGAGGCCTGGTAAAACTTGGCCGTGACATTGAACACTATACCTTGCAGCAGACTTCCAGGACTGGCATGTACTCCAGTGTGTTTGCCAACAAACCGGTGTATATTCAGGTAATATATATGAAATGTAATAAATTATGCAAATTACAGGTAAAGATGTAGTAAATAGTATATTTTTAAACTAGGAATCCTATCGGTGGATCCTTTTTAATTATCTTAATATAGCCTTTAGGGGAATCCCCTACATCTTCTTTTGTTAATAAATAGTTGTTTGATAATCAAATACCTGAAAGGCTTTTACATGTATGAAGATGTGTGGACATAGTTTCTTTTAGACTGAAGGAGAATATTCATTGTTTTAAAGCAGAATGTGTAAAGAATAAGAGTTTAGTCCTTTAAGATATCTTTTTGCATTTTCGTGTGTAGGTTGAAATATTCATTGTATTTTCAGTATAATATAAAACTTGTGGTTTTCTTTTTTTATTAAAAGGAACTTCACATCAATGATGACGATCATGTTAACAAGGAAGAGTTTGTACAACACATCATTGCCTATGCTGATGTGGCCAGCACTTGTGATTTCCTGATGAAATTGGATGCAATATTCTTCTCAAAGGTAGGTCAGAAATTAACATTTTACTTGTAAGAAAGTATTTTCAACAAAAAAATATTCTGCTGTTAAGAAAGCATTTTCAACAAAGAAATATTCTGCTGTTAAGAAAGCATTTTCAACAAAGAAATATTCTGCTGTATGTCCAGCATAGCCAGACAAAATGTTCAAAAAAGGGGGAGGGGGCCACACAAACAAGAGGAAGACAGAAGAGAAGTCTGATACAAGTTAGTTTAACAAGTTCATGATAGTGACTAGTCTTTTGCAGTGAAAATATTTGAAAATGCATGATTTACCTACAACAAATATTCACCAGTAACAAAGACACCTGTATTAAAAGCATTTTGTATGATTTATCAGGATATAAACTGTCCAAACAATAGAAAATAAATTCAGCTTTACTGGCAGAATGAATTCTGTTACAAATCTAATAACATCTATGCTCTATTTTCTTAGTGGGGAAAAAGGTATTGTTGATACACCTGTCAAAAACCAGGATGCATTATGGTCTATTCAATAACTTCCTGATATTTCATGAACCTTTCACAGCATCTTCAACACACAAAACTTAGGCTTTGAATGATGTTGAGCAAAATAATTGGTAATATTCTGTGATCAGTAAATTGTACAAAATCTCATTCCCTTCCCCCTTTTTAGCCCACCATCATCTGATGGTGGGCTATTCAAATCACCCTGCGTCCGTGGTCCGTGGTCCGTGGTCCGTCCGTAAACAATTCTTGTTATCGGTACTTCTCAAGAAGTACCAGAGGGATCTTTCTCAAATTTTATATGTAGTCTCCCCTTGGTCCTTAGCTGTGCAGGGCAACTTTTGAGACTGATCAGATAAACAACATGGCCGACAGGCAGCCATCTTGGATTTTGATAGTGAAAGTTTGTTATCGCTATTTCTCAAGAAGTACCAGAGGGATCTTTCTCAAATTTTATATGTAGGTTCCCCTTGGTCCTTAGCTGTGCAGGGCAACTTTTGAGACTGATCGGATAAACAACATGGCCGACAGGCAGCCATCTTGGATTTTGATAGTGAAAGTTTGTTATCGCTATTTCTCAAGAAGTACCAGAGGGATCTTTCTCAAATTTTATATGTAGGTTCCCCTTGGTCCTTAGCTGTGCAGGGCAACTTTTGAGACTGATCGGATAAACAACATGGCCGACAGGCAGCCATCTTGGATTTTGATAGTGAAAGTTTGTTATCGCTATTTCTCAAGAAGTACCAGAGGGATCTTTCTCAAATTTTATATGTAGGTTCCCCTTGGTCCTTAGCTGTGCAGGGCAACTTTTGAGACTGATCAGATAAACAACATGGCCGACAGGCAGCCATCTTGGATTTTGATATTGAAAGTTCGTTATCGTTATTTCTCGGGAAGTATCAGAGGGATCTTCCTCAAATTTTATATGTAGGTTCCCCTTGGTGTAAAGCTGTCCAGGGCAATTATTGAGACTGATCAGATAAACAACATGGCCGACAGGTAGCCGTCTTGGATTTTGATATTGAAAGTTTGTTATTGCTATTTCTCAAGGAGTACCAGAGGGATCTTTCTCGAATTTTATATGTAGGTTCCCCTTGGTCCTGAGCTGTGCAGGGCAACTTTTGAGGGGGGTCGGATAAACAACATGGCTGAAAGGCAGCAATCTTTGATTTTGATATTGAAAGTTTGTTTTCGCTATTTCCCCGGAAGAACTAGAGGGATCTTTCTTAAATTTTATATGTAGGTTCCCCTTGGTGTAAAGCTGTCCAGGGAAATTATTGAGACTGATCGGATAAACAACATGGTCGACGGGCAGCCTTCTTGGATTTTGATATTGAAAGTTTGTTAT